AACAAATGGCAAGAGCTCGAGGGGTGTTAACTTAGTCTACTTGTATATCGCTCTATGTATTGGAAGAAACACACACTAAAGAAGACAGTACATCTGAAAGGTTGATAAATGTTTCTGTTTTTACTGTTGACTTGCTTGATTCATTTATAGATCGTTTTCTCAGGAGCAAAAGTTAGAGAAAACTTGTGACTGTAGCTATGATTGTAACATGACCAGGGTTGCCACAATACTGGAATTTGTGCGTTTGAGCACTGTTGCGCACGTTCATTAACAGCGCTGATTTGCCATTGTGTTCACTTGCTCAACCAAAATGGTTATGGAGGTCATCAGTTTATCGAACTCACCACTGTTTACTGAGTGTAACCACAAATACAGGGACACTGAAGCATTTTAAAGCCGCGATTCATCTGCGGATCGCTCGTATATCAGCTTATTGACAAACCAGCTGATTGACATGACTTTAAGGGTGCTTTCACACTAGCACTTTTGGTCCACACATGTGTTCGTTTGACGTCAGAGTTCGATATGGTTAGCTAGTGTGAACGTATTTTAAACTCATGTGCGCATCTGTGAACTACCTGAGTTCGCTGAAAGAGGGGTTCTTGCAAACTCAGGTACTGTTAACGTCTGATATGTATGCAATCGTATCAAGTAATGGAAGTGAACCGCCAACTCTACAACAAACACGTGTGTATGGCTGCATGGGACTGACACTGTGTAAACACAGTGATAATGTCTCCTTGTCTCCACCAAAAACGACTTCTGCAGACATCGCATGATGTTTTTATTGCAGCAGATAGACGCAAGTAGCTCCCTATATTTTGGCTTTGGTAACTAAACACAAACTGGCCAAGAAGGTGGAAAGGGGGGACAATTGAAATGGGGTGTGGTCCAGGCAATTGATGATCTTCATGGCCAATCACAGTCATTTCTGTTGAGGATGTGAACACAATGGCAAATCAGTTAAGAACCAATGGCAAATGTTTAAGAACGTTCTGAACAGCGCTCAAATGTTCACGGGAAATGGACGTTTTCAGTATCGATTGGTACCAAATTCCAGTGTCCTGACAATCCTAAACATGACAAGCATTGACCAAATAGGTGAACACAAATTGATCTCTCTCATTTGACTGTAGCTTGACTTAGTATTTTTCATGAAGTACAGTAGCCTAGCAATGTATTTTTTTTAGTTTAACATGATTCAGTGTAATATAAATCCACAAAAGCACCATAGTTCATATAAAAATGCTGTTGATTTATGAAAAGGATAATGGAATATAATCAATGTTTGCATTCATAATATAATACAAAGTCAATATCAACATGTCTGGCAGAATACAATGGCTAAAGTTAGTGATACTGTTAATCCATGGTAAATGTGCATGGTTTGTGGATTGGAAAGCTTCTAATTGGATGTATGTGGCTCAGTGATTCTGGTGATTTTCCAAATCAGTAGCTGTTGAAAATATCGGCACTGTTTAAAGTCACTGCTGGGTTGTATTAACTCAATACATGTTCTAATATGGACAAAGTCAACAGTTGCATGTTAAAATAAGTAATTTAAATTTAGTTTAGCATTTAATGTAAATTCGTTTCACCTACACTTAAAAAAGCCTCATTGGATCAACTTAAATTAATTACTTCAACCTAAAAAAAAATCATTTTTCCCAACTTATTTATTGTTGAAAACCGTAATATAATAAGTTGAAACTAATTAATTAAGCAATTAGATTTAGTTTTCACTTTTTTACGGTGTAGCACTAATCTAGGATATTGTTTTTGTATTTTTTGAGGAAGGTGTTCTCCTATAGTAATAACCCAGACAGTACACTAAACTTTGCAAGGTTACGCTCTCCACTGCCTTAGAAAAGCGCTTTCTCTGCTGGTCGTCTCCCTGGATGTCCGAGTGTAAATTAGATCAAGCTCTTCTTCCAATCTGATGCCAAATCATTGGGAGGTCATTCTCATTTTACCCCCACCCTACCACGTTTGGATCCAAGCATCCTGTTTTCTAATTAAAACAGCACCTGTGTGGTGGGGGTAGGCCTGGACCAGAGCACTGGCTTCTGAAGGTCCAGGGATGAAATCTCAATATTGTTCCCAGCCAGAACACACAGGCTCTAGGTACTCTGGGGGCTAGTGATCCTGGAACACAGCCAGAACATGCACCAACACTGGATGTATGTGTGTGTGTGTGTGTGTGTGTGTGTGTGGGGCAGATTGCCGGGTCTCTCTCTCGTTAGCCCCTGTCGCTGTTTTCTTCTCATCTTTCTCCACCTCTCTTAGGTTACCTTGGGGCTTAAGGCCGATTGTTGGTTGTTAAGCAGTGCTAATTCTGTGTTTGCTGTCAGAAATTGAATTTTGAAGGAAACACACGTATATAGAAAAACATGTACACACTTCTCCCTCAGATTTGCTGTAGGGCGTACGCCTACTCACTGGCAATACTCACTCTGTGCTCTACATACAGTCAAGTTCAGGTCAAGGTTATAGCGAGACAGGTTTGAAGTGATGAGCAAACGCTCTCACTCTCCTTCTCTCGCTCTCGCTCTTGTTTTTTGCCCATTGGCACCCTCACCCTCCTTTTTAACTTTAATTACCAGCTAATCATTTTGTGTAATTATGTTCAAGGTTGACCTTACATTTTACATGCAGCGGTTATGCGGGAGCTAAAAATTTCATGCTAAAACCTCTACCTTTTTACCTAGGTGTGTATGTGTGTGTTGTAATCATTGAGAGCAGATTTAAAGTGAATGTATTCGAAGGAACCGGGTTTTTACATTGCTATTTGGCCTTGATGTAAAGCTCGGCTTCTCCTGCTTCCTGAACGAAGGCATTGTTCTCTTAAACAGCTGTCGTTTTGGCTGATTCAGAACAGATGGCTGTGTGTGAGCGTGTGCATGTGAGTTTGTGTGTGCTGCACGATCACAGTTGGTTGTGATTTGTGTAGGGGGCGATTCGATTTCACAGACTGGCTGTGATGTGTGTGAGAAGATGGATCCTAATAATAATGCTGTAAAAAAAAACATCGCCATTGAATGGTCTTTTCCTTTGTTCTGAGACTTGTGTACTTTGTTTTTTTAATTGCAGTTTATACTAACGTTTACATACATACACATGATTTAGAAAATTAGATGCTTAGCTATTTTTATGTTTAAGCTGGAAGGGTCCTGTTTATTTTTGATGTGTCAAAATAGATTTATTTTGTTGATTGAAAATCATATTAATAATTGTATTATTATTGTAATTACTAAATTTTGTATAGTTTAGTTTTAGTACTTAGTGCTTTCGTGTAATATGGCTATCATAATTAATCTATAACATATTATTTTCTCAAATGCCTAAATTAATTATCTTCGCTAAAACTGGGCGGATATCAATTCATATTAGGCATGGGCTGGTATAAGATTCTGACGGTATAATAACCTTGGATAAAATATCATGGTTTCAGGGTATTGTGATTATACGGTAATTGTGGTTACTGCCCTAAAATATGTTCTTTTTTTATTGTCTGGGTAAAAAAAAATATAATAATAATAATAATAATTCCGCTTTAAACACAAAACATTTTATTTTGAGAAACATTTCAAATGTTTTGGAACAGTCAGGCTGAATAATGAAAATGAATCATTGACTTCTGCTGTATTCATTGGTATCAAAAACACTTTTTTTATTTTTTATTTTAATTTTTTTTTACAATGGCATCTGCGGGTATCTTTTCTGCTGGAGATACTGTTGTCATAAAATCAAACAAAAAAATAAATAAAAAATCTTACATATACCATATAATGGTATAGCAGAAAATTTGAAACCTTGACTATTCCAAACCGCGCCATACCTTAAAAACGGTTATAGTCCCATGCCTAGTTTATACTATTTTAATTCTATCTAGTCTTTGTTGAGGATACCCTGGAATGTTCCTTGTATACAAATTGACATATTCTATTTAGGATTAAATGTATATACTGTGTGTTGAAGTTATAGCATGACTAGTCTGACATTTGTGGTATTTAGACATGATAGAATGTGTTCACAGAAAATCTGTGTGTCCAATGGAGTGTCCTTTCTCTCCATTGTTTACATACCTGGTCAAAAGTGTGATTAACTGACAGAGTTAGGAATGCGTGGAATTTCTGTTTCTCTCTTTCTGCCTTTCTCTTTCTGCATCACTTGCACTGGAAGTTAAAAGGAATATGTTTTGATTTCTTATTTTTCAGACATTACAGTGTTTTCTTATAAGCTTTTGCGCTCTCAAGGCTAAATTGTGAATCGTAATTTTCAACTTTCTAATCTTTTGTAATTGACACAAATGTGTTTGGTGCAGGGATTTAATGTCAGAATTGTACATATAATCATTTTTTATTTACAAGAAAGCAGCCCTTTGCTGGTTAATGAGTGAGAATGCTTTCTTAATTTAAATGGCGAGTGTGTCTGTTTGGGAATGCATTAGGGGCTGCTGAAGAAGCGTAAGACATATTAATTGACAGACAGGAACTGCTGTCTCTGAGGTTGATACAAGTAATTTATTACTTCAGAAACGAATGCCACCTCCAGAATGTGCTTCATTAATTTCAAATTTAGTTTTAATTTCAAGCTGTTGCCCCTTGAGAAGAATAAGGTGGCAACTTCGGTTTGAAGAGTGATTTTTCCCGTTATTTTACAACCCCCACCCCTTCTTCTTTTCTTCTTCTTCTTCTTCTTTTTTTTCTGCTACACTCTCTTTTCAAAACAAAGGGGGTAGAGTCAGAACTTGATTCCATGTGGCAATGTAATGCAATTGGAAAGCAGAGAAGAAATTACTGCAACACTTTATAATGTAAAAAAAAAACAGACTGATTGTTTTGTTTTTCACTGCTGAAGAAAACACATTGATGTCTGACGTTTCTATCAGCTGTCTATCCTCAATGCTAGGCATTGTAGGAATGTGATGTGTCAATTCCTCATCATTGGACAATGTGATAACACTTCTGCTTTTTCTTTTATCTCTCTTCTACCTGCAGCATACGTGCCAGAGGAGCTAAAGGAGGCTGCCTTGCTAGACGAGGATGTTGAGGGAGAGGATTCTGCTTTGGAGGAGGAACCTGCCATGAAATATGTGTGCCAGGACAAGGACTTACTCCTTAAAGACAGGCCAGGCTTCCACGACTCTCCACCAGCTGATTTCTCCAGCCATGAGATGGACAGCGAGTCCCACCTGAGTGAATCCAGTGACCGCATGTCAGACTTTGAGAGTGCCTCAGTGAAGAATGAAGAAGACAGCTCGGCCAAGGAGCCCCTCACCTCTCTTTCTTCGACTTCGTCAATGATGATGACGACAACAGCCACACCAAGCAGCGAGGAAGCCACACCATTAGGCCCAGACAGCCTGGAACAGATGAAAGCTATCTACACTAGCTTCTTGACCAACTCATACTGGTCATCGCTGAACTTGAATTTATCTCAGCAACCACCAGAAAAGCCCCCACGTAGCCACAGTAGTAGCAGCAGCAGTAGTAGCAGCAGCAGTAGCTGTGGTAGTGGTGGATACGACTGGCACCAGACAGCAGTGGCTAAGACCTTGCAGAATGTTTCACAGAACCAGAGTAGACTACTGCACCCAGCATCCGAGCCTAACCTCTTCAGTACTGTGCAGCTTTATCGGCAGAGCACCAAACTCTATGGCTCCATTTTCACTGGGGCAAGCAAATTTCGCTGCAAAGATTGCAGTGCTGCCTATGACACTCTAGTTGAGCTCACTGTGCACATGAATGAGACGGGCCACTACAGAGATGACAACCATGAGACAGACAGTGAAGGTACCAAGCGCTGGTCAAAGCCTCGCAAACGTTCCCTCCTTGAGATGGAAGGAAAGGAGGATGCCCAGAAAGTTCTCAAATGCATGTACTGTGGACATTCCTTTGAGTCACTACAGGATCTCAGTGTTCACATGATCAAAACGAAACACTACCAGAAAGTGCCTCTTAAGGAACCTGTAACTCCTGTGGCAGCCAAGATTATCTCCTCAGCTCGTAAAAGAGCCCCTATTGAGCTAGAACTCCCCAGCTCACCAGATTCTAACGGTGGCACCCCCAAGCCTTCTTTATCTGACCCCAATGACCTTCTGCAAAAGACCCCTAATCCTTACATCACACCCAATAATCGGTATGGACACCAGAACGGTGCTAGTTATGCATGGCAGTTTGAGTCGCGAAAATCCCAGATCCTGAAGTGCATGGAGTGTGGAAGCTCACATGACACATTACAGGAATTGACCGCCCATATGATGGTCACAGGACACTTCATCAAAGTCACTAACTCTGCCATCAAGAAAGGCAAACCAATCATGGAGTCAATGTCCACAACAGCTCCTAACCCCATACTTACTAATGAAGACAAGGTACAGTCAGTGCCACTTGCTGCCACTGCATTTTCCCCACCACCTCCTGCACCTCCTCCCCCTAGTATCTCTCCTGCCATCATGCCCATGGAGATTAAAAAGGAGGAGAAGGAAGTGGAGTGTACAAGAGAAACAAATAATAACAAAGACAAGAAAGCAGCAGAAAGCGAAACTGATGAGAAGTTTGAAGTTTCATCCAAGTATCCATATTTGACAGAGGAAGATCTTGAAGAAAGCCCTAAGGGGGGGTTTGACATTTTGAAGTCTCTTGAGAATACAGTAACATCTGCCATCAACAAAGCACAGAATGGCACACCCAGCTGGGGAGGCTATCCCAGTATCCACGCTGCCTACCAGCTTCCAAACATTATGAAACTCTCCCTGCGCAACTCAGGGAAAAGTTCTCCTCTGAAGTATATGTTTTCTGGAGAAGAGCTCCTGTCTCCTACCAAAAGCCAACCTCTAATTTCACCACCTAGTTGCCAAACATCCCCTTTTCCCAAAAACAACTTTCATGCCATGGAGGAGCTGGTCAAAAAAGTCACAGAAAAAGTGGCCAAAGTAGAGGAGAAAATGAGGGATCCTGGAGCAAGGTCTTCCCCTCTGAGACGGACCACACCCTCTCCGTGCAGTAGTGATGCAGGGGAATCTGCCAGAGGGGAGTCCCCTAAGGAAAGAAGAGGAGCCAAAACCCCTGAGACTAATGGGGGCGGAATCACTCACAAAGAATCAAATGGGGATGCTCTTACAAAAGAGTCTCTGGAGAATGGTACTGACCATGTTGTCAAAACCCCAGTGTCCACCTTATGTAGCAGCACTGCTATTATAACCGATCATCCTCCAGAGCAGCCATTTGTCAACCCTTTAAGTGCGCTTCAGTCTGTCATGAATGTTCACCTTGGCAAAGCTGCCAAGCCTGCCCTGCCATCCCTTGACCCCATGAGCATGCTTTTTAAGATGAGCAACAGCCTGGCAGAGAAGGCAGCAGTGGCTGCCTCCACTCCATCTCAGACCAAAAAGACGAATGACCATCTAGACCGCTACTTCTACCACATCAACAATGACCAGCCTATTGATCTGACCAAAGGCAAGAGCGATAAGAGCAACTCTTTAGGATCTGCTGCCCTGTCCTCCTCCACCTCCACACCCACTTCAATTTCACCGTCATCAACCATCACCATGGCCAAAGCCTCATCCGCTGTGGCTTCCTTCATGTCTAACTCACCTTTGCGTGAAAATGCCCTGTCTGACATCTCCGACATGCTACGTAACCTCACAGAAAACCATGCATCTAAGTCCTCCACTCCAACAAGTCTGTCAGAGCGATCAGACATAGATGGATCTACACCTGAGGAATCAGAGGAGATCTCTCCTGCTCAGAAACGAAAAGGCAGACAGTCCAATTGGAATCCTCAGCATTTGCTCATTCTGCAGGCACAATTTGCCTCCAGTTTGCGGCAAACAGGGGACGGCAAGTACATTATGTCAGACCTCAGTCCACAGGAGCGCATGCATATTTCGCGCTTTACTGGACTCTCAATGACGACCATTAGCCACTGGCTAGCAAATGTCAAATACCAGCTGAGGCGGACAGGTGGCACAAAATTCTTGAAAAATCTAGACTCTGGCCACCCTGTCTTCTTCTGCAGTGACTGTGCATCACAGATTCGTTCCCCCTCTACCTACGTCAGCCATCTTGAGTCACATTTGGGCTTTCGGCTCAGGGACCTGGCTAAGTTGTCTGGAGAACATCTTGTTAGCCAGATCTCTCGCCACACCAAGGGACTATCTGAGAAACTGCTTTCAGCCCAAGCGCATTCTTTGGCTCATACGATCGCGAACCCAAGTCCTCACTCACTTTCCCCCTCCCCTTCCCCAGATGAGGAGGCAAATGGCACCTCATATCAGTGTAAACTGTGTAATCGGACTTTTGCCAGCAAACACGCCGTCAAGCTCCATCTGAGTAAGACCCATGGTAAATCTCCAGAGGACCATCTTATGTATGTTAGTGAACTTGAGAAACCTTAGCGATGGCCAAGGACAAAAACTCTCTTATCTCTTTATCTCCTGTCCTTTTTCAAGCCTTCTGACTAACATTTCTTAAGGAAAAAAAAAGAACTGAAAGTAATTAACAAAGAACTAACTGCACATAGATGCCAGAAAACTACTGTTTAGTTTTGGCACATAATTTGGAGTTTTATTTTCCTCTGGGGAACATTCATTTGGCTCTAGAGACGTTCATTTTCTGCATTTTCAGTTTACAATGGAAAACAGAGAAAATGATGGCAAATGATAATTTTCTAACTGTGCAGTGAAGAGGTCACTGGTAAAATATGAAGGTAAATAAAAAAGGCATAAAATGAAGTTGTATGTATTTGAAAGTTGTGTAAATTGAATTTTTTTGGCATCCTTGAGATGCAGTAAGCTGCATGCATTAATGAATGGTTTAGTTCAATATTTGAAAACTAAATCTGGGCTTTTCTTTATCTCTCTTTTCTCTTTTTTTATTTCCATTTTTATTGACCTAAAAAAATTTAACCCTCTGAGTACGCCTAAATACTTTTATATTTACAACCCCCAAACGTAAATACATAAAGAAATAAATACAAAAGATTGGAAATAACACATTTGATATGTATTTGAGTGGGCATATTCAGTTTTTTGTTTTATTTATTTATTTTTTAAACCCACTAAACACTACATACGTCTGATACATCACTTCTTTTTCAGCTTGCGGTGCAGAAGTATACGTGAATCCAAAATAGTATGTTATTTTTTGTTTTCTTTTTTTTTTTTAGTTTGCTCAAATCAGGGGCCTTTTATGAATTCAGGTCAGTGTAAAAATGTGTACATAAAAAAAACATAAACTAATTTCTGTCTAAATTATGCATCATTTTATATTTTTTAATTTAAGATGGGTATGACTATCTACTGGTGCACAATATATGAAGACATTAATGAAAGTGTTTTGCACAATAGTTTTATAAATATGTTATTTAATCAGAAGATATGAAAATGCTAAGAAAAAAGATCACCCTAAAGTTTTATTTCCACCTCGTGCTCAAAGGGTTAAACTTGTACAAGACTTGTTCCATCATTTGACTTAAATGGTTGTATAAAAAGATGAAACTTTATAATGTAAGGAGGAATTCCACGATGTAACCTTTTTATTTATAAACACTCTTGGTTGTTGTTTCATATTGTAGAATGCCTTTTTGATCGGTATCTTTTATTTTGTTGTTCTGTCTAATTATTCCTCCATAAAGCCACACTGCAGCTTCATCATTTTAGGGGATATGAAAGGTAACCATGGTTACCTTACCTCCAATTGACAGTTCTGCTACGTTTTGGCAGTTAATTTACTGAAGTAACTGACAGCTGCCAGTGAATGGAAATCTTATGTGTAAAATATTGGCATGTTAACAGCACAGGCACTGTTATGCATTCTGTGCCGTGTTACCTTTTTTTTCTGTTGTTGTTGACAATGAAGCACTCATTATATGACTTCATATAACCTTTTTTCTACTGCAGCATTAAATTGAAATTGTTTTGGTTTTTTGCAATAACTTGATGTGTCGTGGCTCACAAGTCTGTCGGGCGCCGGGGGATAAGAAATGAGCAGATTAAAGAGAACTGCTGTCAGTTAAATAGCAGTCGACAAGTGTGTAAAAAGACATTTGTGTGACGATCGGGGTAGACCACCGGACCTCTGACAGGCAAATTAAAATCAGCCAGGTGGCTTGGGTGCATGCGTGCGTGTGTGTTTATACATTAGCATAGACCTCTGCTGCTGGTCTCACAAACATTAAGTGTTTATCTCTGATGCGGCAGACTTTAGTGGTGTCATATGTTTTTGGCAGATCTATCCCATCACTCCTCTCATCTAATTCCCTGCCTGGTGACACATCAACTCACAACGTCTCCTAATATGGTTTAACTAGGGAAGCATCAGGCGGTGTGAAGAGCGGTGCGCCTTTCCCTCTCTACAAAGGAATGTAGCAGATAATTGCTCTGGCATTAACTGTCTCTTTTTCACAGTTTTCACTGTTGTAATTAGCTCAGGTTCCTATTTTGCAGGGACAAATTTGCTTGGGACTCATCCAGGATGACAACAGAATCGCATTTAGAGTTTGTGACTGCAAAATTATGCTTTAGCATACATAGACTGCACTCAAACAAAATGAAAATGACATACTGTATGTGCTGATTCCTTGCTTGTGTATATGCAATAGAGAGAGAGAGAAAGAAACAACGTTTGTGAGGGCCACATATAAGAAATATCTCATAATAGGTGGGACACTTTCCAAAAAAAAAAAAAAAATGGTTTACCCTGTTTAGTTACTGAATATGTTCCTCGTCAGATCTGTCAGAGAGCATTCAGCATGCGCACGCACACACTCAAAGACGTCAGGAGCCAGGTAGAGGGGACATCATGTGTGGTGACAAGGTGCTGCTGTGTGTGAAAATGTCAGCCTTCACAGGCATTCCTGAAGTCTGGCGCCATATTTAAGGTGCTCATTAGTCGCAAAGAAAATGTGCGTGAAATTGAAGTGTAAGAAAGCCATTTTCTCTTCTATCTCCCAGCCTGATGAGCCACCGAACTTGGGGTTATTAATGGCCTGTTTCCACTGAGGGGTACAGTACTGTATGGTACAGGTCGGTACGGGTCACCTTTGTCAGGCTTGCGCTGCCACTGCCAAAAGGGTATCAATGGGTAGGGCGTGGTGTATGACAAAGTTTCAGTCGACGTCATTCTCGCTTGAGGAAATGACTACAGTAAAGCTGTACGGGTCGTTCACATATCATATAAGAAGCACTTCTCACAAAACAGATGCTTTATGCACATCAATACTTGTGAATAAAAATGTTCATTACTAACCTTTCTATCAACATAATTATAACTGCAGATCTATGATAAGGCTTTACATTCTACTGTAACATCTGCAATTATATAAAATAAATAAGTGAATAAAACATATATGAACACATACAGCTCCTTATAGTCCCTGATATGTTACCAATTTCAGAAAAACTACACAAAGCATACATTTAGGCCTTATTGGCTTCAAAAACTACACACAACATATAGCCCACAGTCAGTGCAAACCTCTCATCTGTATATTTAATCTTCACCAGCGCATGTATCCTCTTGTTTAGAAAGTAATTCTATCATTCCGAGTTCATAATAGTCCAAAAGGTGATGATAATGGTTAAACATGGCAGTTTGTTCATTGTTTAGTTTGCTGAAAGAATCATTTGCTCCTTTGTTTTTTCCGGCTCCTCCTTTGTTTTTTTGCGCTTCCCTCCTTCACTCTGCATGGATCGGAGGTCAGAATCCCTTCAATAATCATGGCCACGTTATTATCATCAGCTCAAGAAATTTGCGATTTTAAATATAGATGTGATCACGAGCTCTTTAAAGAAAGTGAATCCGCTCGCACTTTTAGATGGCCTCGCAAAATGAAAACAGGACAAGCCAGATTTGGTCCATCTTGACTATGGCTGTTCATCAAGACAACGACAAGGTTTGTTTGAGCTTGGGTCGACCATTGCTTGTTATTATATGTATATACTATTACGGTGTAATGTGTTGGTTGTGTATTTAAAAATGCCGGTGCCTTTGTCCTGGCTATGCGCTAGTGTCATTTCTCTGTAAACCAATAGCTTTCAGCTACACGTCTTGCATTGCCTTTTGGTACCCTTTTGTCGTGCTAGGTACCCTTTGCGAAGGGTACCCAAAAAGTTGTATGGTACAGTTCGCTTTTAGGTACCTTTTGACAGTTGAAACGGCCATAAATGCACACCAAACCATACCGTACCATATCACTCAGTGGAAATGGGTCATAAGGTTAAGAACAACTATGCACATACATTTAACAATGCCTACACACTCCTACATGCGCAAATATCCTGATGCTAACGGTGCATTTTTAAAGTTGCTTGGGCTTTGTATGAAATCTGCGTACATATTTATCAAGGTTGCATTGAGCTATGAATTTGACCCAGTTCACGACGGGGAGTAAACCAATTGTAAACATGCACAGCCAAAGGTATGTTTGTGCAGGAAAAAGGCCTACATAATTGCTTAGCGCCTAAATACCTCAACAATGAGTATATTTCCCAGGATGTGAGGAACGTAATTGGTCTGTACACATAATCTGCTCAGAATGAGAGGTTTACGTGTGCGGGAGCGAACCACACATTGGAGGCTTTATCTCCGTTGCGCTGCTACAAAAGAGCAGCTCAGTGAAACTCTCGAACCAGCCCTCTCCAACACAAATGAATGCGGTGTTGTAATGCTATTGAGCTACTAAGGGACTTTATGTATCGCTGGACTTTTCAGATAAACAAAATTGCGGATTATGTGCGGCGGCGGAGGAAATGTATCTGCGTTTGCGCTATCGCTAACAAACACACACGCAGGCCGTTTTCACTAGGCCTTTGCAATAAGCGGGTACCTACATAGCAAATTATAGTGATGCAGGCAATGCGCATCCACTCCTCAACAATTGGGCCTGATTGATTCACTACTGCGCTGACCCAAGGCTTCACTTTGTCTGCGGACGCCTTTGAGGCGAGCTGTCTCTCTTAACCTGTGTAATTTACATGCACTGTAATTCACTCACCATCTGCAGTCTCACCTTGGAAGCACTCCCATTACAAATGCTAATTTAGAGCACCTTATAAATTCTCTCAATCACAAGCTTGTGTGTGGACAATCTACACACACTCTGAGAGAGATAGAGTAGATATTAGCACACCAAAAACAAAAAAAAAACACTCATGGGTGTGTCCCAGTGACCCCAACATTACCCCAATAAGGAATGGAGGGAACGAACAGGAGGCGCCGTAGCGTTTTGTAATGCACCACCATAGATCTTCAAGCTGTCGCCTTTTCCAAGTATCTTAAAATAATGCGTGTGATAAATGTGCGATTTCTCTAATTCACAAGGCCTCGGTGTGCTCCCGGCTACGTGCAGGAGAAAATCTTAAATGGGGCTTGAACGCTTCTTTGCACAACAAGAAAT